CTTAGGCCCCTCAGTCGAATTCTTCCTTGTGAGGAGGCAAGAACTGAGGCTGCTGTAAATCCATATGGGTTCATTGCTCCCAACAAAATGTCTAGAAAAGGCAAATCTATAGAAACAAAGATTAGTGGATTCCTGGGGCTAGAAGTAGGAGCAGGGATTGACTGAGAATGGATAAGAAGTGTCTTTTGTGGAGAGATAGAAATGTTCTAAAACTTTTTTTGTAAAAATGATTGCAACTCTACAAATTTACTAAAAATATTTAAACTGTATACTTGCCATAGATGGTGTATACTTACAACAGAATACTGCACACTGGGTAATTTACAAAGAACAGAAGTTTATATGGCTCACAGTTCTGGTGGCTGTAAAGTCCAAGAGCAGAACCCTGGCATCTGATCAGGGTAATACCATAGTGGAAGGGTAGAGGGCAGAAGGAAGAAGCAAGCATAGAGAGAATAAAAGAGGCTGAATGTATCTGTTTATTAGGAGCCCACTCCTCTGATAACTAAGCCATTCACTTGAAAATGGCATTAATCCAGTCATGAGGGCTAAGCACCTCTTAAAGGCCCCACTTCTTAATTACAATGGCAATGGCAACTGTAACAGTATTAAGAAGTGGGGCTTTTAAGAGGTGCTTAGCCCTCATGAACTTCTGAGAGACATGTTCAAACCACAGCAAAATCATATCTCAAAAAAGATAGGTTTATTTTTTTAAGCTTACTGTCACTTATTGAACACCATAACAGAAATTTGTATTAAGTCTTAAATAATACTGCTCTGATTAGTATGCTGGTTAAAATTTTTTTTAACCAGTTAACTGATGGCTAGAAATGAAACAAATTTTTTCTTCTACCTGTTGAGGTTTCTTGCCTGGGAACCTGTAAATTGAACTTAAAAAGACAGATTAGGAAAATAAACGAGTTTATTTACAAGAACTACATGTAGTTCTCAGAGATGAGTTACTCAAACAGACGGTTAGAATTTGAGGCTTATATACCTAAATTATAGGTATATAAGTAAAGGGAAGAGGCAGTAAAAGTTCCCATGGGGTGAACAAATAGGTTCCTTTAGGAAAAACAAATGTGTTTTTAGGAGAACAAATGAGAGATAAGACATTTTGTGATAATATATGTTATGTAGGTTTTCTGAATTCAGGTCACGAAATTCACTTGGAGTGAGGTATTTATGGTAGATTTACTCTTGGTCTCTCTCCTGGGAATAGAACCTTTCATCAAGAGGGGATTTATGATAGTCTTCATTTATCAGAAGTTTCAGCTTTTAGTCAGATAAGGGGAGCTCTGAGAAGGCTTCTTTCCGTATCAATTGAATCTCAATGTCTTTGGCTTAAAATAATCTTTATGCCAATTCTGGGGTTCTGTGTGTGTCTCTACCTGAGATAATGTTAGCACACAATTCACATGATTGATAAAATACACAATACTCAACATTGTAACTTCTATACATCATAACTTCAATATGACTTACTATTTCTTATGAAAATCACTATCAGTTTTCATGAATTCACCAAAAATAACGTCCCAAATTCAAAATAAGAATAAATGCAGCTGGGCGAGGTGGCTTATGCCTGGAATACCAACACTTTGGGAGGCTGAGGTGGGAAGATTGCTTGAAGTCAGGAGTTCAAGACCAGCCTGGCCAACATGGTGAAACCCCGTCTCTACTAAAAATTCAGAAATTACCTGGGCATGGTGGCAAGCACCTGTAATCCCACCTACTCAGGAGGCTGAGGCAAGAGAATCGCTTGAACCCAGGAGGCGGAGGTTGCAGTAAGCCAAGACCATGCAGCTCGGGGGGGCTGCATTTCAATCTGGGCAACAAGAGTGAAACTCCACCTCAACAAAAAAAAAAGAAAAAAGGATAAATGCTTGACTATTCACAATAGCAAAGACATGAAATCAACCTAAATGCCCGTTAATAATAGACTGGATAAAGAAAATATGATACATATACACCATGGAATACTATGCAGCCATAAAAAGGAATGATATCATGCCTTTGCAATGACATGGATGAAGTTGGAAGCCATTATCCTCAGCCAGCTAACACAGAAACAGAAAAACAAATGCCCCATGTTCTCACTGATAAGTGGCAGGTGAATGATAAGAACACATGGGCACAGTGGGGAACAACACACACTAGGGCCTGTTGAAGCAGGGTATGTGGGAGGGAGAGCATCAGGAAGAATAGCTGATGAATGCTGGGCTTAATACTTTAGAGATGGGATGATCTGTGTAGTAAACTACTATGGCATACGTTTATCTATGTATCAAACCTGCATATCTTGAACATGCATCCCTGAGCTTAAAACAAAAGTTGAAACAAAAACTAAACAGAGCTTAAAATAAAAGTTGAAACAAAAGACTATTATTTGTGAATAAAGTTATACCTTTTTCATTAAAAAAAGGAATAAATGCTTGGTTTCGTCCAATTCAGTAAAGAAGTAAAGTGTATTTTTTGGTTTTTTTTGTTGTTGTTGACCACAGCAAGGACATAAAGTGTACTTATATCATAATGTTGGCAATTATTTTTGTTTATATTGAGAAAAAACAAAAGTGAAACAATGAAGATGTATGTAGGATCTTTACTTGTTCAATGATATAAGCAACTTCTTTGCTGAATCATATGATAGTTTTTAGTTTTCAAATGCTAAAATAATATTTCCTCAATAGGAGGGGGTTGGATATTCACAATGTGACAGTTGCAGATAGAATATATTTTAACCTTTTTTTTTCTTTTTTTTTTTTTTAAGCTGGAGTCTTACTCTGTTGCCCAAGCTGGAGTGCAGTGGCACAGTCTCAGCTCACTTCAATATCTTCCTCTTGGGTTCAAGCGATTCTCATGCCTCAGCCAACTGATTAGCTGAGATTACAGGTATGCCCACCACACCTGGATGATTTTTGTATTTTTAGTAGAGACAAGGTTTCACCATGTTGGTCAGGCTGGTCTCAAACTCCTGACCTCGTGATCCACCCGCCTCAGCCTCCTAAACTGCTGAAATTACAGGGGTGAGCCACCAAGCACGATCTTAAATTTAATCTTCATTAACATTTTCACTATCACTTTCTTAAGTACAGAGACAATCAACAATAAATGTAAACCTGCTTTGTCGCATTTGTTAATTTCCCTGATGTAAATACTCTAATCATGGCTGATTTCAAGCAATCAACATGACATACTGAGGGCAGAGTTGGTGAAATCTGCAGTAACACACCACTAAATAATATTTACACATACACATACAGACATAAATAATCTTAAGAGCATAGATAATGGTAAAACATAATAAATTAATTAGAAAATGAAGAGTTTTGAGGTTTGTAACGTTTGTTTTTAATATAATCTTATCACAAGTTTATGATTTTTAATAATAGCAGTGTTTAATTTTTCTGCTAATTATATTCCTGAAATTTTAGTAACCAGGTATCATCAGTGGCCCTAGCACACCACCACCTAGTGCCAGGTTTTACTAATGAGGAAACTGAGGCTGGAGAGTCTGTTACAAACTTGCTGTGGTCACACAGGACAGCACTACCCAGGTTGCTCTAATTTCACATGCCTCTCTTTAAAACAGAACTGACCAGGCTGGCTGGGGTGGTTCACGCCCCTAATGCCAGCACTTTGGGAGGTCAAGGCAGGTGGATAACGAGGTCAAGAGATCAAGACCATCCTGGCCGTCTCTACTAAAAAATACAAAAATTACCTGGGCATGGTGGTGCGCACCTGCAGTCCCAGCTACTCGGGAGGCTGAGGCAAGACAATTGCTTGAACCCGGGAGGTGGAGGTTGCAGTGAGCTGAGATCACGCCACTGCACTCCAGCCCCAGGAGGGACGCAGTGGCTCATTCCTGTAATCCCAGCACTTTGGGAGGCTGAAGTAGGCGGATCACAAGGACAAGAAATCGAGACCATCCTGGCCAACACAGTGAAACCCTGTCTATGCTAAAAATACAAAAATTAGCTGGGCGTGGTGGTGCAAGCTTGTAATCCCAACTACTCAGGAGGCTGAGGCAGGAGACTAATTTGGACCTGGAAGGCAGAGGTTGCAGTGAACCGAGATCGCACCACTGAACTCCAGCTTGGCAACAGAGACTCCGTCTCAAAACAAAAACAAACAAAAACAAAACAAACAAAAAACCGTAACATCTACCTACGTCAGCACCCAAACATCTTACTGTGAACGGATTTATAGTTTGCTTAATAAAGTCACTGCTTTCCAGTAGGTGGGATGGGAAATCTGACTAGGCAAAAGACTAGAACGAAGGGAAAAAGAACATCGACTTAACAGTTCAGGGTACCGCAGGATATTTTCTCTCCTGGGATTTGGGCAAGCCAAGATTTAACAACCAGCTATTGCCCAGCAACTGGTAGAACTGATAGAACATTCATTGTTTTTTTAAACATTTGCCATTCAATATTCCTTTTCACACATTTTCACTGTGTTTAAGGAAAACGTTAAGACTTATCTCAGAGCCCACAGCAAAGAGCCAGTATTAAAAATCAAATGAGTTTCCAAAAGAAAAAAACAAAGTTATCCCTCAATACAAATAAAACTTGGCAAAGGTGTGGCCCACCCCTCTCTGCTCCACTATTTTCAAATAAGCCACCTCTGCCTTCATGGACTGCGAGCCAGCGGCTCCGGGTTGTGACACCACGACCTCCCAGCTTCCAATCTCCCCTTAAAGGCCGTGTGGGGGCAAACAATAAAATTAGCATCCTAAACTACAAGTCGTGAGAGACCGCTCAGGAACAATCTTAATTTGCATACTGGAATTCCGGTAGAAAAGGCTTTCAACCGTTTTAGATAAAACAGCTTCAGGTAAAACGGCGCTGCCTGGCCAACCACGACACACCCACCGAGGCGCCGTCTGAGAATCCCGCTGCTGGCGGAAGTGGGCGGAGCCACACCTGCGCAGTCAGTCCCGCCGGCTGTGCGCTCAGCCCGCCCCCAGAGGCGCAGCGCTCCCTGACAGCCCGCGGGCGTACACACGTTGACACGCAGGCAGCGGTCGCGCAGGCGCAGTTGGGGCGCCTTCGCGGCTCCGGCGCTTTTTACCCTCGTGTGTTCTGAGTCTTTGGTTTGCCAAGTGCAGTTAGGCCTGGCAGGTGCTGAAGGTCCGGGGTCGTGGACCCCGGCCAGGTCTCAGCAGCACGGAGGCTCAGGATGTCGCGGCGGGCGCGGGGTCTGGGGCCGCCAGCGGCGTGCCTCACCCCGCGGCCCTAGCCCCGGCTGCAGCTCCCACCCTGGCGCCAGCCCCGGTGGCGGCCGCGGCCTCGCAGTTCACCCTGCTGGTGATGCAGCCCTGTGCTGGGCAGGACGAGGCCGCGGCCCCCGGGGGCAGCGTCGGGTCGGGCAAGCCCGTTAGGTACCTGTGCGAAGGGGCCGGGGATGGCGAGGAGGAGGCTGGGGAGGACGAGGCGGACCTGCTGGACACCTCGGACCCTCCGGGGGGAGGCGAGAGCGCGGCTAGTTTGGAGGATCTGGAGGACGAAGAGACCCATTCGGGGGGCGAGGGCAGCAGCGGGGGCGCCCGGAGGCGGGGCAGCGGCGGGGGCAGCATGAGCAAGACCTGCACCTACGAAGGCTGCAGCGAGACCACAAGCCAGGTGGCCAAGCAGCGCAAGCCGTGGATGTGCAAGAAACACCGCAACAAGATGTACAAGGACAAGTATAAAAAGAAGAAGAGCGACCAGGCTCTGAACTGCAGTGGGACCGCTTCGACTAGCAGCGCGGGAAACGTCAAACTCGAGGTATCAGACTTAGCTGAGGCCTGGGGATGGGAGGTGGAAGAAGAAACCCAATCTTAACCCAAATCCCATCTCCAGGGCCTGCCCACCCGCTTCCAAATGGGTCAGGTTGCAGTGACTGGGTAAGTAGTTGGGAATTAGAGTGTTTGCCCTAAATTAAAGTTCATACCAACATGTGCAAAGCGGTAACAATTCTGTTGCACCCATGTGATCGGTGCAGAAATTTCAGTAAAAATAAGATGACATCGGCAGAGCTGTCATAGATCTCGGATATGCCTGGAAGGACATAGAGTAAATGATCAGTATGGTTCATCATTAAAGGAGACTTAGGAACCTAGATGAAGTTGGTACTTCTGCAAAAGTAATCTCTGTTTTCAGTACTCTGTCCTCAGTATCCAGTTCTTGGTACTCTGTTCTCAGTATTCGGTTCTCCGTACCTCTATTCATAATACTCCTGTACTTAGTACTTTGTTTTTAGTTTCCTGTTCTGTTAACCCTTTTCTTAGTATCCTATTTTAGTACTGCTATTCTCAGTCCCCTGTCTGCATTATCCCTGTACTTAGTACCCTTTTCTTACAACTCTGTTCCCATTACTCCTGTGTTTAGTCCCGTGTTCACATGTTCTCATTACCTCAATACTTAATATACCTTGTTCTCAGTATCTTTGTTCTTAGTACCCTATTCTCACTACCCCTTTTCTTAGTACCCCTGGAGGGGGGGTAAGAAAAAAAGGATGATAATGGGGTATAAGTATCAAAAAACTTTTGGATTGTTTGATTTGAACTGAGTCGAAAGTAAAACCAGTGTTCTGGAGTTGGACTTCTGGGTGCAAATCCCTGTTCCATCATTTGCTGGCTGTGTGGCTTGAATAGGGTATTAAACTCTATAAAATGGGCATTAAAATAGTCTGTCATTCATAGTGTTGCCGTGAATATGTGAGCTATTCCATAGTGTTCACACGGTGTCCAGCAACTGGTAAAAGTGTATAAACCGTAGCCATTATTATTGTCTTGTTACTGGTATACTTTGAGGATGTTACAGATAAGCAGATATTTCTTGTTGTGTGAGCTATATAATCCCTCAGTGTAGAGAAAAATTTAGTTTTGTTACAGGTGATCCAAGCGAGATATGATAGCAAATGTCTGTATACCCAGCTCTACTTGGGAAGGTGAGGAGGGAGGATTGCTTGAGAACCAGGGGTTTGAGGCTGCTGTGGGCCTGTTAGCATCACTGCACTCCAGCCTGGGTGACATAGTGAGACCCTATCTCTTTAAAAAAAAAAAAAGTGATCAAAAGAAATTTTTTTTTAAACTGTAAGCTGTCTTAGTGTCCTAGGATGTATTCTAAGTCTTTAAATTTCTTAGTTTCAGGCTGAAATTGAAGTGCTCCATTACAAAAATATTAGACCTTGTAATTGTTTACAAATGTAATGTTCTAGGCCAGGCACAGTGGCTCATGCCTGTAAACCCAGAACTTGGGAAGGCCGAGGAGGGAGGATCACCTGAGCCCAGAAGTTCGAGACCAACCTGGGTAACATAGGGAGACACCATCTCAACAAAAAAGTTTAAAAATTAGCCAGGTATGGTGGCACATGCCGGTGGTCCCAGCAACTTGGGAGGCTGAAGTGGAAGGATCACTGGAGCCCAGAGGTTGAGGCTGCAGTGAGCCATGATTATGCCACTTCACTCCAGCCTGGGTGACAGAGCAAGACTGTCTCAAAAACAAAAAGTAATATTCTAAATATATCTAAAATCTACAGTTGCCAGTGTGTCATAATTCACACTGGTTAGGACTGAGTGACTTCTCTTTTCATTAAGTTTTTATCTTTTGGAGTAAGAGGATTCCTTCGAATATCTGATGACTTAATGAACACTCTTCCTAGAAAAATGCATTATGTAAGTTTAATTTTGCATACTAATTCATGGGCTCAGGACTTCTGTAATCATAATTTTAAAACCCCCTCAATCCATATTCTTGTAAAATAATATGTTTTACCAAATCTCTGATTAAAGGGATTTAGGGAAATAAACATCTGAAAAAGAATGAAAGTTAGCAAAGGTGATAAAGTTTGTTCCTCAGTAAGTTCCAAAGGTGCTCATTCACTTCAGAATTATTTAGAGAGAGAGCAAAATAATGCTTTTTTTTTCTTTCTTTCTTTTTTAAGTCAGAGTCTTACTCTGTGTGGTCCAGGCTGGAGTGTAGTGATATGATCTCGGCTCACTACAACCTCTGCCTCCTGGGGTCAAGCAACTCTTGTGCCTCAGTCTTCCAAGTAGCTGGGACTACAGGTGCACACCTCCACACCTGGCTAATTTTTGTAGTTTTGGTAGAAACAGGGTTTCACCATGTTGGCCATTCAGGTCTTGAACTCTTGGCCTCAAATGATCCTCCCACCTCAGCCTCCCAAAGTGTTGGGATTACAGGTGTGAGCCACTGCACCCAGCCTAATAATACTTATTTTCAAAGAAGAAGTATAACTATGGCTGCTTACTTTTTTTTTTTAGACTACCTAGCATTTACATCTACAGTGAAGAAAATGTATAAAAGACAAATGGATACTGAATTAGAATCTCCCTCTGTATTTCACACAAAAAGAGCCTTAATAATTTTACTATTTTGTTACTTACTTACTTATCTAATTTTTAGAGATGGGTCTTACACTGTTGCCCAGGCTGGCCTCAAATTCCTGGGCTCAAGTGATCCTCCTGCCTAAGCCTCCCAAGTAGCTGAGATTGCCACTCACCACTGCATCCAGCTTCACTATTTTAAAATACCTTGAATGACTTTTTAGGAACGATAATTAATTGCTATAAACAACAAATGATAGCTTGCTATCCAAGTTGTCTTATATTGTGGGATACTTTATCAGTTCTGAGGAGGCTGCAAGATCTGTTAGTCTTTATCTTTGTTGAACTGAGTGAATGTAAAGAAAATAACAATGCCAGTCAGGATATAATAAGAGCAAACTATATAGACGTTTTTCAGTAGTTCAGAGGAGGACAGATCATTGTAGGCTGAGATACTCCAGAAAGGCTTTGCAGAGGAATTGTCACTCAATATAAACCAGAAAGGATGGGTAATAGTTTATGCTTAATAAGCTGAGTTTCTTATGTTCCAAGCACTGTGTTAAGCTATAAATGGAGTCTCACAACCTTTCATCAATGGGCTAGGTACTGTGTTTTACATATGTGGAAACTGAGGCACAGAGAGTTAAAGAATTTGGCCTAGGTCAAAAAGCCAGCGAATACTGTACTCAAACACAAACAGCCTTATTCTAGAGCCTTCACTTTTACCCCCTTACTCCACTGCTTCCCTAGAATTCTGGTAGGTAAAAGGAAAGAGAAGCACATTTTGGTAAAGTGAAGCAGAAATACAGAAAACATTTTTTGCGAAGATAGCAAGTGGACTGTTCTAGCTAAAATGTAATAGTTGAGTGGAAAATTCATGAGAGAGAAATTTGGAAAGATAAGTTGAAGCAAATTTTTTATAGGATTGAATGCCAGGCTATGGGATTTGGGTTTGGAGTCTTTAAATGAAGTGTTCTAATCAGGAAGTAGCAGAGGATCCTACCCTGATGGAGTGGGTTAAAATTGAGAGCCTATAAATTTTGTGACTCTTCTGCTATATTGTGAGCAGCAAGATTAGAAAGTAAGGTCTCTATTCCAATGAAGGATTTATTAAGGTAAAAAAAATTAAAGAAATTAAGGTATCTAAAATATTTCTTACACAAGTCAAGGTTAAATAAGGAACAAGTGTGTATAATGTCTACCTCACAAATCTAAGAAGTATGCTATATGAGAAATGCATAAAGGGACTAAGGATAAATGAATTGACATCTGCTGGTGGGATTGTTGTTATTAAATATCTAAAAAGCTATCATGTAAGATAAGCAGTAGACTTATATGGCATAGTTCTGAGGTATCTAGAACTCTTAGGCGTAAATCACAAGGAATATATATTTCAGCTCAGCTTAAGTAAAGCTACCTAACATTCTACCAAAACGTTAGAGCTATTAAAAACCAAATGAAGTACAGCAGAAGTGGTAAACTCTGTAAGACAGAAAGTGTTAAAAGTTTTTGAAAAAGAATTCCAACATCTGTATGAGTCTGTGGTAGATGACTAAAGATTATTTTCAGTACAGGCTTCTCTATCTAATTTAGTATCTAATATTTTGTGATATTAACCTTTTGAATCTTCGTAGTGAGGTTGTGAGGGCAGAGGGTACTGCACCATCAAGTCAATTTCAGCATTCCGTTATCATGCACATAAAAATGAAAGAATCTCATAAATAAAATCAGCTCAGGTGTTGGTGGGGGAGGAAGAAATTATTTTTGTTTCCTCTGAGTATTAGAATTTTCTTTTTACAGTTTCTATATCTTGAGGCCTAAAATGTCTAGGAATGAGATATTTTTGTAATATTAGATTGGTTAAATTCGTGTAAGGTATGGCTTTCTGATAAAATATTTATAGTTTTATATTTGTTTAGTAAGAATTTTGGATGTGGTATTGTAGCATAGTCTTGTAAGAGTCAGAATATTTCAGTCAACTAAACAGTAATTTTGTTATGCCAGCAAAATTATAAGTATTTAAGCTGCTGTAGGTAACTGGGGTAATAAGTACTGCTGATTTTGTTTTGGGGTGTTGAAATCTCAGGGTAATGGTATTAGTTTAGGACTTACCTGTTTTGTCCATACAGATGGCAGGAGACTATTTATACTAGTGCTTTTTCAAGCAAGTTAATTTTTCTAGTGACTTCTAAATTTTGAAAGCTTGGTTATCAATTACTTCTTTAAATGATATTTTACTACTTCCCCATTTGTTTTGGTTGTTAATTGGGTAAAAAACTATCAGTTAGGTATCTTATTGAGCAGTGTATAATTTGCTTCTGAGTTCATATATTTCATCCAAAGGCAAGCAGATTATGTTTTGGCCTGGATAGCTTTATATGAAGAAAATGGTCAATTCACTTGGCATTTTTTGTAATATTGAAAATAGGTCACAAGTGACTCTGCCCCAATCTTAGTGGCCTACCTCTCACACACTATTAATTTTGAGACCTATCAAGAGACTAAAGAACCCAGGTGGAAGATCCGGGGGAAAAGGGAACAAGGAGGAATGTTATATAAAATTAACTGCCCATACCTTGCCTTATGATAATGAAGGACTTTCCCAAAGTTTTATAGAGTCTGGGCAAGAGGATGGAAGAAATGCAAAGACCTGTTCATTACATCATTGAAAGACCTGTAATCATGAATTATAACATTAACTGTTTATCTATTTGCATTTTTATCATTTATCCTAGGAAAGTGCAGATAACATACTCTCCATTGTTAAACAAAGAACAGGATCTTTTGGGGATCGTCCTGCAAGACCTACTCTTTTAGAACAAGTGTTAAATCAAAAAAGACTGGTAAATATCTGTTTGTAAATCAGTTACAAATGTGTTAACAAACGTTGTTTGTTATAAATGGAACTATTGAGATTTTTGAGATTTTAGCTCATGATATCACAGTATACATCAAAATAAATTCCTAATAAGGAGTCAAATTTTTTAAAAAAGAATCAGAAATTTACCTCAAAAATCTGTAATGAGATTTCGTTTAGCTTATATAGATGGAATCTAGAGAAAAGATTATAAACTTGACTACGTAAAAATGAATGTTGTAGTTTAAATAGCAAAAATATCTACAAATATAAAAAACTATGGTTAATGTGGCTGGTATTTTATCACATAAAATATTCCTGGTTGGGCCTGGTGGTTCATGGGAAGCTAGGTGGGAGGGGATCACTTGAGGCTGGGAATTTGAAACTATTCTGGGCAATATAGTAAGACCCCATCTCTACAAAAAAATTTAAAAATCAGCAGTGTGATGGTATATAGCTGTAGTCCCAGCTATTCAAGAGGCTGAAACAGGAGGATTGCTTGAGCCCAAGACTTTGAGGCTGCAAGGAGGTATGATCATACCACTATATTCCAGCCTAGGCAACAGAGCACCCTATAAATCATTAAACATGATCTGTTTCTATATATATATATTCCATATATGTATGTGTGTGTATATATATATAATATGTTTACCTCTATGACAGCTTCACTTTTAACTGTAAAGAAAGATTATAAAAATTCCTATAATTTGATGAGGAAAAAACTTTGGCTTCAATACATTGCAAAAGAAACAAAAAAAAAGGCAGAATACCATTAAATGATATGGAAAGGTATTCAATATCAGCAAAAATAACAAACAAAAAGCAGAAATTACTTAAACGATTACACACGATGCAGTGATGTTGAGGGTTTCATGAAATGGAGATTCTCATGCAGTTAATGGCATTATGTATTGGTACAGCACTTTCAGAAAGCAGTTGGTCACTGTGTACTAGGAGTCATCCCTTTTGACTCAGACATCACATTTAATGTGAAGACATTTACACAACATAAATCCTAAATATGAATAGAGTTAAACATAAAGATATTACCGAGAATATATGTATCACAAATAATAAAATGGTATTTGTGATAAATATATTCCCGGCAATACCTTTATGTTTACTATTTATCACAAATACCAGCAATACCTTTATGTTTACTATTTATCACAAATATATTCATCACACATAGTAAAATGTCCAACAGTGTCATAACAGCTAAGATAATTTTTAAACAAAACTAATAAATAGAAAATGTACTAAGATATAATTCATATAATCTTAAAATCAGTATTTAATGATAGTATGTCCACATTATTCAGTTTATCTTTTTGCAACTTATATGTAAGTATTTTATTATAAAAACATTTTAAAGGAGACTGTGACTGGATGAATGCTTGAGGCTAGGAGTTCAAGACTGCAGTGAGCTATGCTCGTGCCACTGCACTCCAGCCTGGGCAACAGAGTGCGACCCTGTCTCTAATAATAATATATTAATCGTAGTCTGTTATATTTGTTGTATTATTACAACTATATTTTAAAATGATGAGTGTATAAAAAGTTATTGGATGATTTAGAGCAGTTATATTAGGGTTTTTTTCACTGAAATTTTGGTATATACTGATATATATGTATATGCACACACAATTTTTAATTTCTTTGTGAAGACTTAGTTGGCTATGCCTTATGAATGAGAAACTTGACATCCAGCACTAATTTATACATATGTACAAACTTGCATTTACCTGCCATTTTCACATGTGGCTCCCTTTCATCTCCATTTTTGTCTTGCTATATTCCTGGGTCAGTGCTACTTTTAGCTCTTTGCTTTTACATATTTCAAGAGAGTATATTTGCTGGCGTATCACAGAAGGCGTTTGCTTTGTGCCCAAAGTCACCAATAACAGACTTCACCCATTATTTTTAGGTTTTAGTGTTTTGATGTTTGACATCACGTTATTTTCAATTTGCAGCTTAATTGCAGTGCATCAGACATAAAAGTGATTTTCATTGAGGCATATTTTTGTAAACATTGTATCATGTGTAGGGACACATCAGAGTAATTTCATAGCATGAAAACAATCTAATCACATAATAATGCTATTAATATTTTTTTTCCTTTTTTCCAAGTCGTTGCTAAGAAGTCCAGAAGTAGTGCAATTTTTACAGAAACAGCAACAACTATTAAATCAGCAAGTTTTGGAACAAAGACAGCAGCAGTTTCCAGGAGCATCAATATGAGGGAACATATCGAGAACATCTACATGGTTTTTATCTTATTGTAATAGATGAACATATTTTTTTATGAAAGATAAATGGGATAATACATGCCTGTAGAACATAAACAGTTTCCTGTAAATGTATGTGTGCATTTGGGGATGAATAAGTATTGCACTTTGTGCATCTAATCTTTCAGATTACTATGAGTTTGAAGAAGTCCGCTTATCTTTCTAAAATAATATTTAATTACAATGTTTAAAAAAAAATATGTACCTCTTCAGTCATTGTTACTGAAGGTAATGATGCAGTTACTTTCTGTGGAAGTCATAAAGTTAATAGATACTAATCTTGAAGCACCTAGCTCAGTGGTTCTCATCAAGGGTCAATTTGATTGTCATAGTGACCTTAAAAACTGCTGATTTTTAGTGAGTGGCCAAAAATGCTAAGTGTTCTGCAGTGTCAGGGGTAGTCCCATATACTAACAATTGTCTTATTCACAGTGCCAGTAACACTCCTAAGAAATGTTAATGGCTGTTTTGTGGTGCTAACATGTAGTTAGGGCACCTATAATAGGGTTCCCCTAATAACCTTTCTTTGCAGTTAAGACTGAAGCTGTCAGAGAGGTAAACACGTTTTATATAGATGTAAGGAAAGTGATTATTGTTTAATGTCTGTGAATTTAGGATGTCTATCTCTTTTCAGAGGTGTGCTAGTAAAACCTGAGGGATTAAGCACCCTGGGATGTCCCACAGCTGGCTTTTCTCTTTCATGTTACCTGTTAGAGTTGATCTCTTAAAGCAGACACTCTTGTGTACTGAATTTGTGAGCACCATAGATCTCAGCCTGCCAATGCCAAGACAAAATTATTTTTCATATACTTATTTTTCATTTAAAAAAATGAAAAAAATCCTTTTCAAAAAAGAGATCCTGAAAATTAAATTCACACTCCAGCATTTTGTCATCATTTTTCAAAATTGAGCTATCTCAAAACTGCTATTTCCTGTAATGTTCAAAAATGGTAGGTAATCTGGATACTTTTTTCTTATACTTTCTCCTAGGAAAACTTTAAAAAGGCAAACCTACCAATAGGAATAACAAATTAAATGTCAAGAGGATATATCCAATATTAGGATAATAAGTGTATGTATCTCAAGTTTAACTGTACAAAACTTTGTTAGTCACTTGGTTTTTAAATTCTATATATTAAACTTAATCATGGCTATTCTAAGAAGTACTTATGGAGAGCAAGAATGTTTTAGTTCATTTTTAATGTGTGTGTTTTTACTTGCATTTCTGTTCAAAACACTTTTAACAAAATTAATTCATTAAAGTCCAGTTGATGTTGACCTTTGAGTTGGCTGATTTCTTTATTCTGTTTTTTAATTTATTCCTACCAGATGCAGAGGAATTCTACTGTTTGTTGTTGTTAGTTTATTCTCATACTTAAGATGTCGAGAGTTGTTTCTGAAGCTTAAGTTATTGTTTATGATGAAAACGTTTAGCTTATGCTTCTTCAGATGGAATAATGGGAAAGTAGGGAAATGGGAAACGGATGGAAATGGGAAAGGGGGAAAAGAATAGTCTAAAGAGAGCTGAATGAAAAAGGACTGAATTTAAATATTTATAAGAATTTCTGATGATGAGTAATGAGAAGAATTTTGGGTTGGGAACATAGCCATACAACCATAAAGCTGATTCTCACATACCATGCCAAGGAATCTAGACACAAATGACATGTCTACCATTTACATAAGTAGAAAAGCAGATGAAAGTATGCTGTCAGAACAGAGAAGCAGGATAAAATGCCCGTATGAGCAGGATACAGTCTAGAAGGCTTGTGGAGTCTTCCGGTGTTCGGGAGATTGCTTGCTTTTCCAGTTACTAGTTAGGGATGTGTGTGCTATTAGTGAAAATTCAACAAGCTACGCATTTATGACTTTTGTACTTTTCAGTATATATTTTACACATCAATTTTTTAAATACTGATTTTATTTTTTTAAGACTCTCAGCTACCCTTGCAGTTGAGTGTGGCCATATGAGTAAATTCTGGCCAGTGGGATGTGAGCACAGGTGATAAGTGCAACTTCCAGATGGCACCCTTAAAAAGGGAGCAAGCAGCTCATTTCCTCTCTTCCTCCATCCTGCTGCCTGGGATGTGGACAAAGCAATGGACCATCTATGGGCCAAATGAGAGTCATTCACTGGGGAAGGTGGAATAACAAAACAGAAGGAATCTGTGTCCCCGGATGTCCTCAGGGAACTGAGCAATCACACTAGCATGGGATGCCCTGTCTTTCAACTCCTATGGAAAAAAGAAATGGAGTATATTGTTTCTACCACAATTATGATGATGGCATAACCATGGTTGTTGTTATGACAGCCAGCCAGTATTATTTATTTTCTAAGTAATACTGTAGGGAAAAGGATTGACAGGTGGCATACTGGAAACCAGGAATTTGTAACGGCAATCTGCAGTTATGTGACAATGTTTCACTAGGCTCAGCCACCTATAGGAGTTGGAAAGATAGATGATAGGCTTGATGTAGAGTTCATTTGGTGGAAGGAAGTAAGGCATGAGGAAGTTAGGATGCTTCTGAAAGTACTTTCAGGAATAGGTTTGAGCTGAGCAGAGAAAAAATGAGGCTAATGGAAACTGGAGGTTCCTATGACATTGCAGTATAAGTGTGGAAGAATGAGAGAGCACAAGATATCTCAGGTGGAACTCATTACAATCAATTAGTGACAGCCCCAATTTTTGTTCCATAATGAATCTTAATAAATTTGGCCCTTGGAAATGCTCAGCAGCTAGACCATTGCTAGGCTTCTCCTTGAAGAGTTGATTTGGAGCATTAAATAAACAAGCCTTTAGGATTTAATGGCAGGAAAGTCACTCAAGGAGGACTCACCTCAAGGAGAACCTCAAAGCATTTTGCTTCAGTTCATCAAGCAGCAGCTCTGGAGCACTGCAAAAACGGTTTTTTAAAATGGCAAGACAGAAAAAGTAGATAGTAAACTATGGAATGATGTTTTGCTTCAGGTGCAGGTAATCCAAACTACCACAAAGGAAAATCGGGACACTGGTTGGGACACTGGGATGGAAGGGTTCAGTAGTCAGGAGAAAATCTTTTATTGAAATTGTCTTTTTTTTTTTTTTTTTTTTTTTTTTTTGGAGATGGAGTCTTGTTCTATGGCCCAGGCTGGAGTGCAGTGGTGCAATCTTGGCTCACTGCAACCTCCGCCTCCCAGGTTCTAGCAATTCTCTTGCCTCAGCCTCCCAAGTAGCTGGGATTACAGGTGCCCACCACCACGCCTGGCTAATTTTTATATTTTTAGTAGAGACGAGGGTTCACCATGTTGGCTAGGCTGGTCTCGAACTCCTGACCTCAGGCAATCCACCCACCTTGGCCTCCCAAAGTGCTGGGATTATAGGCTTGAGCCACCACTCCCCACTGAAATGATCTTTTATACTGCTTGAATTCTTACCATGCATGTATGACCATTTCAGAAATGTTGTTCTTATTACAAACTAAAAAAAAATCTTGTTAAAAATTGATGACCAGGTGTGGTGATTGATGCCTGTAATGTCAACCCTTTGGGAAGCTGAGGCAGATGGATCATGTGGGGTCAGGAATTTGAGACCAGCCTGGCCAACACAGTGAAACCCTGACTCTACTAGTAATACCAAAAATAAAATAAAAAATAAAAATAGCTAGGTAGCACGCACCTGTAGTGCCAGCTACTTGAGAGGCTGAGGCCTGAGACTCACTTGAACCTGGGAGGCAGAGGTTAGTGAGCTGAGATTGTGCTACTGCGCTTCGGCCTGGTTGACAGAGTGAAATTGTTTGAAAAATGAGGGAAGAGATAAGCCTGCGTGACAAAGTGAAATTGTTTGAAGAGGAAGAGAGGGAGGGAAGGAAGGAAGGAATGGAGGAAGAGAGGAAGGGAGGGAGGGAGAGAGGGAGGAAGGAAGGAAGGAAAAGGGGAGGGAGAGAGGGAAGGAATTGAGATGTGTAGACAACTTATGCTGACAGTTATTGCCCCTTTGCTTTCTATTTTGGTTTATAGAAAAATTTTTCACTAGTGAATCTTTATATATATTTGACACTTACTTGTAGTGAGATTTCCCCTTGGAGTTTACAGGCCATCCTGGGGTCCAAAATATATACTTCCCTGCTGGAGATATACAAAGAAAGTATAATCTAAAGACAGTATGACAAAATCTGCCAATTTTCTAGCACTTTATACTTTTCAAAACAATTCTGCATATTGACTTGCTTTCCACAACAATTTTATAATGCATGCACAATTGTTAGTTTATAAACACAGAAGCAAAGTTGAAAAGGTTCAGTCACTTGCTCAAGACTGCACAGCTATTGAACTACTTATATCCAGGCCCTCTGATTCCAAATGACTTACTGCATACTGTTGTAAGCTTCAGTCACAGGCCGATGCAGTCTGGACATGCCCCTTGCATTTTGGCAGTGGATGCACCATCACTGGGCCATAAGAATAAAGGCTTTGTACAAATTAAGCCTTGATTTTTGGAATGTGTTAAAAGACACATTTTATGTTAACTAGCCTTAAATATATTATTTTAGGAAGTATTTTTGTATGTACTACTATAGTTGAACCTCAAAAAATTGCAAGGCAAGTAGTATTGTCCTTGTTTTGGGATGAGGAAAGGAACTCAGAGAAGTTAAAGTGACATATAAAACAGGTTGTACTGTTAGAGGCAGAACCAAGATTTGAACCTAAAATTGTCTCTAGAAATGATGCTCTTTCCAGAATAGCATGCTGTTGCTAAAGTAAAAACTAATACTTTCAAGTGCCTAGTTTCATTTTTCTTGAGATGGAGTTACACTGTCGCTCAGAATGGAGTGCAGTGGTGCAATCTTAGCTCACTGCAATCTCGGCCTCCTGGGTTCAAGTGATTCTCCTGCTTCAGCCTCCTGAGTAGCTGGGATTACAAGCATGCACCACCACACCTGGCTAATTTTGTATTCTTGGTAGAGAGAGGATTTCACCGTGTTCGCCAGGCTGGTCTCGAACTCCTGACCTCAAGTGATCTGCTCACCTTGGCCTCCCAAGGTGCTGGGATTATAGATATTGAGTCACTGCGCCCGGCTGCAAGTGCCTATTCTAACACTGTAGGCCCTTCAATAAGTGCTGAACAATTAAATTTTTCAAAATGAAACTTTCTGTATGCTTACACGTACAATTTTATATAAATACACTAATAATCATATTGTATATACTGAAGGAGTTTTGTTTAACTTTATACTCTCTTCTGTTCCTTTTTTAAAATTTTCTTACCCTCTGTCTTCTATGCACCACCCAACTTCCAGGTAACCTTTGTCAACTACCCAGTATGTAGTCTGCATTTTTTTCATGTTTATATAATTATATATGAACACATACATACATTTAGAATTGTCATTGTTACATAAAAATGTGGGCATATTATACATGCTTGTCAGCATATTGCTTTTTTTTTTTTAATGCACCAGAACTGTGTAGAAGTCCCTCTGAGTCACTTGTATAGCTCTAAGTCATTCCTTTAGATGGCTGCAGAGCAGCTCTTGATGGGAATGCACCATGATTTATTCAGCCATTCCACTGTTGACAGGCATTCACTTGCTGTCTTGTCTTCCACCACTATGAACAGTGCTGCAGCAGACATCCTTGTAATGTGTCCTTACATACTGGTACATATTGGTGGTTTTATGGCCTTGGGATTGACTTCCAGAAGTGGGATTGCTGAGTAGAGGGTTATAAGTTTCCTTTAAATAGATGTTGTTATATTCCTTTCCCCAGGAAATCTGTAGCACTTAACGTGTTTACCAGCAAATGAAAAAGAATTAATTTCTCTCACATCTATGCCAGTGTTATTACATGTATCAGGATTTCCTGAAATACTGATAAATTAAAGCATCTTTTTTTTTCCTTTTTCTTTTTCTTTTTGAGGCAGGGTCTCACTCTGTCGCCCAGGCTAGAGTGCAGTGGTGCAGTCTCAGCTCACTGCAACCTTAACCTCCTGGGCTCAAGTGATCCTCCTACCTCAGCCTCTTGAATAGCTGAGACCACAGGCGCATACCCCTACACCTGGCTAATTTTTTTATTTTTTGTAGAGATGAGTTTTTGCCATGTTGCCCAGGCTGGTCTTGAACCTCTGGGCTCAGGCAGTTTGCCCCCCTCAACCTCCCAAAATGCTGGTACTACAGGTGTAAGCCACTGTGTCCAGCCTAAACCCTCTTTTTTTATGATTGCTGCTTTTTTAAATTTGCTGTTCTGTGAATTGCTTAGTCATATCTTTCGCTTATTTTCTGTTAAGTTCCGTTTTTCAAGCTCAGTGT